TGTGTGGGGGAATCTTTTACATTCTAGAAAAATGCCTTCATTCAGGCACTTTATTCTTAACACGCTTCAGAAGGGTTGTGATTGAAATGTGGTGTTGGAGAGCGTGCACTGACCTTGGCGTTCACACTGGGGAGGCCCTGCCGCTGGTCATAGTGTGTGTCTTGTGTGTGCAGGCCGTGCTCCATGGGCCTTTCAGCCCCTGTGAACTGAGGTGCCACAGTTTGACCAGGATATCCAAATTCAGGTAAGTTTACCTTCCCATGAAGGTTTTTCTCTGCTGCGCTACTTATATATTTTGTGAGAAACTAATCTTTCTGCATCTATAAACTGTTGGAATGTAAGTTTTTCTTTTAGCTCCAAATCTGAGGCTTGCTTTCTTTGTTCCATGAGAGCTGTTTTCTATTAGCATTTTCAGTGTCTTTGAGCTCTCTGAGGCTTGCTTTCTTTGTTCCATGAGAGCTGTTTTCTATTAGCATTTTCAGTGTCTTTGAGCTCTCTGAGGCTTGCTTTCTTTGTTCCATGAGAGCTGTTTTCTATTAGCATTTTCAGTGTCTTTCTCTAGAGCCCCATGGCTTCTCTTCGGGTTGTAGCTGTCACACCCCAGGTCTGTGCAATGTGGATATCAGTAGTGAGCAGGACATTGCCCTCTTCAGCACCAGGTGGATGGCAGAGAAGAAGGGGGGTGATGGCAGCTGGGGGTGGTGTCAGGGTCTCGATGGAGAACATGGGATGTCGTGAAAGCCCCTGGGATGTGGCCCAGCCAACACAAGGAAGGCCTGGAGGTGTCTCAGGAGTGGCAGGGGCAGTGTCGGGAGGGAGAGCCCTGATTTCAGGTTTGGTGCGCAGGTCTGGGTATGAGAGTTTGTACTGGTGAGGACTTGGAATAATTTGGTATGAGCAGAGAGTTGGGTTGGGGAAGAGAATGCTGTAGGCCTTGTGGCAGATTCCATGATTTTGAAGATGTCATCAGAACACAGTTGGGAAGCCTGCCTTAGGCATTTAAAAATGAACACTGACTAAACCCTGGCTCCTTGAAGTCCCTGAAATGCAGTAACAGCCTTGAGGAGTCACTGGAAATGCAGAGCTCAGCCTCACCCAGGCCTTTGAGTGGGTGTGCGCTCCTGGGAGCTCTCTGCAGGGCTGCCTGTGTGTCTGAACACATGGGCTTCGGAGCAAAAGGGTGCAGGCAGGGGCTAGCTCCGAGGCAACTCACAGTGCAGTGGAGGCCAGGGCAAAGGTACAGAAAGCTCAGCCACTCTTGTGCCTTTGGGGGTGGAACTCACGGGCTAAGCGCTTGCTTAGCGTCAGTGATGAGGGCTGGAGGAGTGAAGGACACCTGTGGAGCT